TCAAAGATTATACAAAAGAAAATACGTTATGTGGACTCATCAAAAATCAGAAGACAATCGAGTGAAGTGTCACTTCAGCATTTCCTATTTCCACTGATATCGGCTTACCCCCAAAAAAATGTTCCTTCCATATAATCACGTGACTTTAGCTTCAATGATCACTTTTGACTCCAGGCGACTAACAAGCTTCGACCGGAACAACAAGCGATCAAAGTGACGACAAAGTATTTTTGGTCACTAGTTGATCTCTAGTCATATTTTTTTTTTTTTTTTTTTTTTTTTTGAAAGAAAACAAACAAAAATGTATAGGAAATAACACAATTTATTCATCAAAATAACCACCCTCACATGAAACAAGTTTATAAATTCCATTTTTATAAAAGTCGCAATCTTCAGAGTTGAAAAACTTCTCTAACTCAGTTTCCATAGCCTCTATTTCTGAACTGTCAATTTCGTAGATGATTATCTAGGCTTAAAAATAAGTGATAGTCAGAAGGGCTTATGTCAGAGGAGGAATAAGGAGGGTGCAAAAGAGGTTCCCATTCAAGGGTCTGAATTGTGTCAGAGGTCACATGTGTGACATGAGGCCTATAGCATTATCGTGTATGAAAAGAACGCCTTTATGGTTCACTAAAGCTGGCTGTTTTTTCAAAAGTGATTGGTGAACTCGACGGAGTTGGTCACTGTAGATGTTAGCAGTAATAGTCTGGCCGGATGGTATAAGTTCATAGTGAACAATTCCATTTGCAGTCCACCATACGCTCAATATTGGCAGGCGTCAATTGATGAGGTATCCATTTGCTGAGCTTGTAAACTTTCCCAAGACTATGCAAATGTAAACAGACAGGTTCTCCGTAAGTGATGAAACTTTGTGCTAACATCTGACAAGTTTGAGCGGAATCTTCTTCAATTGCAGCCTGTAATTCATCATTATTAATGACATACGGCCGCCCTTCTCGTGGCGCATCTTTAAGCGACTCATCGCCATTAGAAAATTTTCTAAACCACTTTTGGGTGGTGCGAGTGCTGACAGAACATTGTCCGAAAGCCTGGTATATTTTTTGAGCCATTTGCACAGCATTTGTTCCAAGTTTAAACTCATACAACATACATGCATGAATTATAGAGTTTGGAGTACTCATCTTCAGGTCAATTTTTATAATATTAAGAGATAACCTTTCCGCTTCTCTTTATATAAGATGAGTCAGCATTAAATCTTGATTAGCATATTGCTGGAATTTTAGTGCCGTGTATTGTGTGTAACATTCTTTAAACTTTGTAGTTTCACAAAACAACAACAGAATTTTTTTGTTTACCTAACAGTTTTGAATGTAAGAGATTGAAAAAAACAAAAGACGCAGATAAGATAATGAAATAGTGACCTCAGATTTATTGATAAATAATTTCCAATTACCTATGCACCATTCTGATTCAAATCAAAGTTAGTTGGCTGTGGTTTTTTTTCCTTCTCTGCATAAAGACAGGGCTTCACTGTCATTCCTAATGGATTTTGTATTGAACTATGTCTGGATAATTTTCAACCCAAGTTCACTAATTAAAATTTAATTACAAAAGAGATTATGTAGATAAACATAAATTGGATTTGTGTGCATATATAATAGCCTATTGTGCTTGAAAAAAAATCTCAATTATCTGAAGTAACGTGGAGAAAGGCTGCTTCATATAATGCAAAAACACTGTATTTATTCATTTATCAAATAAACTGGATTTGAAATTTTGGATACATTAGTAAGCACTAGTTGTAGGTTTACATTTGCTGATAATGAAATTTGTCTTCGATCTTCAATCTGAATAATAAGTCACCCAAGTAAATTCTTAAAATTTCTAGAGCTCCTCTCAAGTACTAGGCTAAGATTTGTGAAGAAAAACTATTGATATTTTTATCTTTATTGACAAAACACTCTCGAGCATTTCACCTCAGTTAATTGACACTAAGTCTTATTATAATAAAGCAGCATGTTTTCTACTCTAATGAAACTATTCATTTTAAAGTTAGCACAGTTTATTACAGGCCCTTTTCACCTTCAGGCCAAAATATACAGTCGTAACAGCTAACCCCAAATTAGTTGAATAATTCATGTATAACATTCACTTCAACAATTTTTTTTTGAGTATTCTAATCTTTAACTTTGATAAACCCTCAATTTCTTAACCAACAACCAATTTACTTTTTTCTAAATCTCAACTCCTTTTGTAAAATAAAATTTCCTTTTTTTACAGACATTGGAAAGATTCCACACATGTTTAGGTTTCCATTGTTAAAAATTTGATGACTGATCTATGAGAAAATATTTATTTGTAGGTATGAAAGATGATAAAAAAAGAAATCACATGAGACAAAAAGTTACAGAATATATGGACAGAGCTGAAAAGATAAAGAAATTAGTTCAAGATGAAAAAGAAGGTAGAGTAAATGCTTGAAAATTTAATATGATTGCAATACTTTGACGCATTTTACTTCCAGCTGGAAAATATCATGAACAAATTCAGATTGCCGATAATTCTATTGGTAATGATTATGAAAAGATATTTGGCAGATTCCTGGATGAAAACCTCCTTTCAGTTGAGATAGATGATCCTTATGTTAGAACAACGCATCAGGTGAGTGAGCCATAAACTTTAAAGCAAATGAAAGTCTTGTCTCTTTTATAAAGTTTAAAAATTAATACCATTCTTCACTTCTTCAAAGGTAGATATATAACTTTTTACGATTCTGTGAGTTACTAATAAAAAAGAGCAAAAATTTAAGAGAAATCACATTGATGACTGGAATAGATGAGGTACGTTCTGCTTAATTTTAAAAATATAGCTATTCTCACGAATAAGAATTTTCTCTCTTCTCTAGCAAAATCATTCCTCTCAAGAGCAGAAATTTGAGAAAATATGTTTCAGTTTAAAAAAATATAACGTTACTTTAAAAGTACATTATTCTGGGACATTACACGACAGAGAAATAAGGTAAGAAAATTTTAAACTTCGTACAGTTTTTGTTGGAAATGTTAATAAATAAATTTTTGTAGGTTTGATAATGGATGGGTAATCAAAGTAGGAAGAGGTTTGGATTATTTCAAGCCAACGGAAAATAACTTTAGCATTGGATTCTGTGACCTCTCTCTTCGTCCCTGTCACGAAACAACAGTAGATATTTTTCATAAAAAATCATTAAAAACTTAATTTATGTAATTTAAAAGGTTCTATCATGTTCCATTATTGTAAATACTCACATGTAAAACAAACTGTGTACTTTTATAAATAATTTAATCTGAAATTGTTACATCTTCACAAAAAATTTCATAACAGCAATAAAAATTCTTTTGCACAAAACAATGCATTCTTAAATAAATGACAAAAGTATGAACTATATAAAGTTACAAATCGGAATAATATTTTTGTTCGCAAATACAATTGCATCATGAAAAAATATAAATTTGTGACTATTTAAAAAAATGCTTAAGATTAAATTGATTATTAAAACAATATATATATATAATTAAATGCAAATATTTTAACAAATTTGTTCTGTGTTCTCTATTTTTATGTGCCTTTTTATCCAAATTCCTTCTAAAAATGGGATTGTATTCAAGGTATCGACTAGTTTTTGAGCAATGGCATTAATTTTAGATTATAAAGTACAGTACAGTACATTCAAGGGATGGTTGTTATTAGCTATTTTATATTGCAAAAGTGAGTTTTTAAACTACTAACAGCATTGCCAAACTAGAGAAGGATAGTTGTTTAGCTGTTAAAATTTTAGAAATATTTTAAATTGGAGTTTGGAATGATAAAAATTCTTTGGCACAAATTATTAGGATGTAAATTTTGATATTCCAGACAGTAATTCTAAATGAAAAAAAAAAGGATCCGAAAAGTTTAAGAAAATATTTGTATATGTACTTTTCAAATTCATTTGATAGCAAAATCAACAACATACAATGTTTTTTCCCTTTAAATAACAAAGATTAAAATGCACTTCTCAAATGAATATACTTACGAACATTACAACTGTACACAATGTAGATATATCATGCATAGAATTTTTGAACAAAGGCACAAGGAAATATTCCCTCTCTCTTTGTATTATCAGAAACTAAATATCCTTTCAACCAATCACTGTTAATACATTCTGTAACAGTGATTTTATCTCCTTCCTCAAATCCTAACTCGTCATGGTTTTCACTGACAAATTGAAACTTTGCTACATACAGTCCACATACATTTTCTGTAGTTTGTTTCTAGAAAAAACGAAATGTCAACAAATTGAAAATATAGATCAAAACAATTGTAAACTGAGTTAAGCACCAAAACAAAAATTCCTAAAATCTCACCTGTTTAACAAATGAAATGGGAAATTGACCACGACGATTATTACATTCACCAAATAACCAATCTTTATTAATTCTTGATAATACTCTTATTTCTTCTCCAACCTAAAATTTTTAAGCATAAATTTAATTTCCCATTTAAAAAAAATATGTTCAGTTAATTTTGAAGTTAATATCTACTTTTAAAACTATGCTGTGTATTTGGCACTGATATGATGATATATAATTTATGCTTATAAATTCAATGTTATATATAGTTTTCAGTTTAAATGTAACTAAGGATTTCATAAATTTATTTTCATTTAAAATCAAATGCCATATTGAAAGAAAAGTTCAAATATATCATTAACAAAATGCACATACATTTGTTGAATCTAACGATACTCAATATATATAATACTGCAAATCTGTTCTTGTAACTTGAAAAAATTGAGTTATCCCCTTTTGAATTTTACATATATAAGTCTCTAATATCCTGTTTGCACCGAGCATTTCAATCTAGATTGTGATCAAGGTCAGCGACTATGCCGTGGTGTGATCTCTCTCGACTGAAACAAGGTTCAATCATGATCAACTCAAGAGAGTTCTTGAAACTAGATACAGTCATAACAGAGATCTCACAATCCCATGCACGTGAGAAAATACAAGATGGCTGTAGAACACGTGTTGGGCTATCAACAGAAATAAAAAATATATTTGGAGAGACAATGACATCTGTCTATTTAGGGGGCGTTCTTTACAAATTTCCATGAGGCACGGTTCCTTTGACTTTTTTGTTCCTGTCAATATGCTCTACAGCTCTTAAAATCCGAATGGTAAGATTTACCCTCCGAATGAAGAGGTGGCGAACCCCCCAACCGTAGATCCCTGTACTAACAATAAAGTCAAAGGAACCATACCCCTACTCGCGACCCTTCGAGAGATATAAGCCCCTGAAATAATAAATTCCTATTACAAATATACTGAATTATTTATATTGTTATATTGACCAAATAATAATTTATTGGCCAAATGAATAATAAAAATTAATATTGTTAATTTAAATAAGAATTAAAATTGTTAATTTGAATGTTTGAAATATGACACACGATAGGGGCGCCTCTAGTGTCCGTTATCAAACGGTTACG